TAGAGGACAGAGTGGAACTGCCCCACAGGGTTTCCAAGGCTGTCAATCTTCACAGAAGCAAAGCCCAAACCACACCCACTGCTGTGGAGTCCATTCTGACTCACAGCGCCCCTAGAGGACAGAGTGGAACTGCCCCACAGGGTTCCTAGGCTGTAAATCTTTACAGAAGCAGAATGCCTCATCTTTTTCCCGCAGAGCAGCTGGTGAGTTCAAACTGCTGACTTTTTGGTTAGCAGTTAAATGCTTCAACCACTGAACCGCCAGGTTCCTCTCCACAAGTATAGGGGTTAGGATTTACAGCACATTTTTTGGGACACAATTGTATCTATCACAGTTACTTTCGTCAAGTCGACCACTCCAGGTGTTTCATTATCACACTGAGGGAAAGTAGAGTTCCGACAGTATTTTCTTACCTCTCTCTCTGAGGGTTTAGGATGTGTCCTCCCATAGAATCTTCTAGGACTGCTTTGGATGTTTTTGGAAGCCAGATTCATAGTTAATTGTTATAAAATTATATGGGACCATATGAAACGTTAAAACAAAAACTGTCTTAAGTGAGTAAGAGAAATTGATTGTAATATATGATTTACAAATTAGGGCACCATTTCCAATTTGATAAAGAAAAAAAAATGTCCCAAAGAAGGGAGGTCTTCCATAGATTTTTATATTTCATATTGTCACTGGGAATTCTGTATCACATGGAGGAAGCCCCCCACCCGTCTGTCGGCGTGCCGTCCCGTGGTGGCTTGCGTGTTGCCGTGATGCTGGGCGCTAAGCCCCATGTGTTTCCAATGTCGGCAGGACCATCCGTGGTGGACAGTTTTCATCAGAGCTGCCAGACTCAGACAGACTAGGAAGACGGATGTGGCCAGGTCCACTTCTGAAAGAATTGTCCCCTGAAAATCTTATGAAGAAATACCAAGGAAACCTTGTCTGATATTAGTGCTGGAAAATGACCACCGTGGGTTGGAAGGCAGTCCACAAAGGCTGGGAGGAGCTGGCTTCTGAAATTGGAGTTGAGGGTGAAGTAGAGGGTCAGAGAAGAAGGGGAAGCCACTCAATGAGATGGGTTGACGCAGTGGCTATGATGATGGGCTCAAGGACATTGTGGGAGTTAAGGTTGTGTGTCAGCCTGGCTGGGCCTGGTTGAGTGGCTGGGCAGCTGGTGGTAGTTATTCCCCATGATGAGACTGTTAGTCAACTCCAGGGTGGGTTCTACCACAAGTAGCTAAGGACCTTCCTTTGGGATGTGGTCTGTTTCCTGTATATAAGGGGAAGCCTTGGGAATGGTCTCTAGCCTATGGCACACTTGAACCCTGCATGTAGCTGCGTCTTTGTTCAGCAGCCTGCCATGCTCTGCCGGCCTTGGGACTTTCAATGGACTTGAATCGATGGCCTGCTGTGTGGTTTGGTAACATTGGGACTGTGCCTTTTTACTTGTCAGCCTTGGGTTTGTCAGCCTCAGTAGCCAGCAGCTGCCTGAGTAAAGAAAAAGCCTCCAGCTTTAATAGGCTGGGAGAGCAGGAGGCAGAGTTGAAGCCCAAGGTTGAGGGGTTTTCACCCAGCCCCTGGAACCTGGCACTTTGAACTTGGACTGAAAACCTCCAAAATTTGTAAGAGAATAAACTCCTGTTTGTTCAAGCGTCCCATTTGTGGTCTATTCCTGTCAGAGCGGCGCTGGAGGTGCCCAAACAGTTAGTAAGGATTGTGAGGCTAGCACAGGACCAGACAGTGTGTCCGCTATGTGCTGGGTCACTGTGAGTCGGAACTTCCGGACACTCAGTAGCATCTAACAACAACCACAAAAACAACGGGGAAAGGGTGGACTAGAACAGATAAGACAGTTTGGGGTCAGGTGGGGTTCCATACAGCGTTGCTTAGAGTGACAGTTCATTCCTGCTTGGCTGTAAGACAGAGCTTGTAGTCAGGTCTTTGGAGTTTCTGTTGGCTGAAACTAAATGCATGAATAATTCTACAAAAAAACACGGCGCTCAAGGCTAGCCTGCTATTTGACCTAGAGGCGACTTTAGGAGTCTACTTTTCTCAAGGCTCAGGGTTCAAAGATGGTCCCAGAGTGGTAGCTTGGGCGGGTCACTTCCACCTCCGTGGACCCCAGAAATCTGGACTCCACAGAAATGAAAAATGCCCTTCCTCAGAAATTACCCTTTCTGAAGGTTTTTTTTAAAAAAAGTTGACTATTCTCACATTACTGTGATTCAACCCCCTGCTCTCTGTGGAAGGCGTCTTTGCCTGTCGCCTGAGATGTTTTGTGTGTTGTTGCCCTTGGCACGTCGGCCGAGTGCCCCTGTTCATTGCTGGTCTCCTCTCTCGTGACAGATTGCTCTCTATATCTGGGACAAAGGCGGTGGACCTCCCCTCACCCCAGTGCCTGAGTTCTGTACTGACGGTGTGGACGCTCACTGTGCAACCACGTTCCATTCTTCCCTGCCGCTGTGTGTAAGTGACGGGAAGAGCTTCCTCGTGGATCAGAGAAACGTTTGCATGTTGTGTGAAACCTTCTCCTAGCACTTTGTGTACTTAAAGCTGAACGCTGGTGCTGAGCCAGGCTAGAGCTATATGTCATGTTTCTGCTGATGACAGCTCTATAAGGTAAGTACTGCTGGTGTCCCCATTTTACAAGGGAGAAGAGAGAGGCATCGTGACGTCAAGTCCTTGCTCGAAGTTCACACAGCCAGCAGGGAGGGAAGTGAGGATTTGGCTTCTTGGTTCCGTTCGTACTGCCTACCACAGCTCTGTGGAGTCCATGCTCCCAGAGTCATTTGTTTTTGCTGATGACATATTGTGGTTAGGTGCTATTGAATCATCTCTGACTCATAGCAACTTTACGGACAATAGAACGAAATAATGCCCGGTCCTGTGTCAGCCCCACAATCCCTGCTGTACCTGAGCCCATCATTGCAGCCACTGTGTCAGTCCATCTCGTTGAGGGCCTCCCCCTCTTTCGCTGACCCTCCACCCTACCAAGCATGACATCCTTCTCCAGGGAACGGTCCCTTCTGACAACATGACCATAGCAGGTGAGACGAAGTCTGGTCATTCTCGCTTCCAAGGAGCATTCCGGCTGCAATTCTCCCGGGACAGACTTGTTCGTTCTTCTGGCAGTCCGTGGTACTTTCAGTATTCTTAACCAACCTCGCAACTCAAAAGCATCACCTCTTTGGTCTTCCTTATGCACATTGTCCAGTTCTCACATGAATATGAGGCACTTAAAAACACCATAGCTTGGGTTAGGTGCTTCAGTCTTCAAAGTGACATCTTTGCTTCTTAACACTTGAAAGAGGTCTTTTGCAGCAGATTTGCCCAGTGCCATAAAATGTCTGATTCCTAGACTGCTGCTTCCGTGGGTGTTGATGACGTGGTACGTGTCTGGAGAGATTTCTTTCCTCTTTCTAGAAAGGCTGTTTTAAGCATGTCCTGTTGTACCTAAGGCTTTTCCCCAAGCCCACCCTCTTTTCTCTCTCAGCTGGTGACCCTGCCTATGATTCATCTCTCTGGCACTTTCCAGAACTTTCCGAATGAACCTTGGTTCCATCTCCAGGGTGAGCCTCAAGGCTCCTGAAACTCACTGTGCTAACAGTTTCTCTTCATAAGGAAAAAAATATTAAGAAACCTCATGTGTTGTCTTTCATTCTCAAGTCAGTCACAGTGAAGTGTATTTGTGCCCTTTTAAAAGATAAATGTTATACATGTTTGTGTACACATGTGCACATACACATTTGTGTGTGTGTATGTATGTTGTTGTGAGATGCCCTTGGGTCGATTCTGACTCCTAGTGACCCCATGGGACGGCAGACTTCCACAAGGTTTTCTAGCCTCTTACCTTCTCAGGAATAGGTCTCCAGGGCATTCTTCCATGGGGCTTCCAGGTGAATTAGAATCACTGTTTTTTCAGTTAGTAGCCGAGCACTTAGCCATTGGGCCACCAAGGCTCCATACATACGTACATACATACATGTACGTGTGTATGTATGATGGAACAGAACTGAAAAGTTGGTGATTTGAATCCACAGCTACTCCATGGGAGAAAGATGAGGCGTCTGCTTCCGTAAAGATTGACAACTTTGGAAACCCTGTGGGGCAGTTCCACTCTGTCCTCTAGGGGCGCTGTGAGTCAGAATGGACTCCACGGCAGTGGGTGTGGTTTGGGCTTTGCTTCTGTGAAGA